GTGATTAGGGAAATTGCAAAGGCCACAAGTTCACAAGATTTTTGGGACGCCTTTTGTGAACTGACAATGCGGACTGCTCGATAATCTGAACATGGGGTTCGTGGTCAATTTTGCCCTTACCTGGTTTTCATTGATATGAACCAATTTCGTAATGGTGTTCGCGATTTAGTTGGTGTTGCTTGAGGTGATGGGAGGATCTAAATGGGAGAACTTTGATTTCGAAATAGTAACTTATATCAACACGGTTTTTCATTTTTTTTAAAGTTCATGTCATAACAATGTTGAAATGGTTAGATATCCGAGAAAATCTTCGGACGAAAATTCGAGGCCAGCAAGCGAGATTTTCCTGATGGTGAGTCCTGAAGCCTCTGGGTATTTAATACGGAACAATTGCCGATAAAGTTTTACTATAGGACATTTTATCTTGAAAAATTGAATTCTTCAAGATCACACTCTACTATGTGTGTGATAGTTTTTCCCTTCATTACATATATTCTGAGACTCTATTCGTGAAAAGTATTTTCCTGTCAAGCTTACCAGATTTCCGTTTGGATCGAGTAGCTTTGTTGTTCCATCGAAGGATATTGAACGCGGAAGTTTTCTGAATGGAATATTTCAAAGACGATATCATCTCTCCCCGAACTGTAACGGTAGCTTGTCTTCATCACTTATCTTATGAAAATATATCTTATAAATGCAACCAACGGCCGGGTTCATGGTAATTGTTAGGCAGAGTAACCGACTAAAAGCACGCTAACTTATGGTCAGAGCAGAGGCCCTGTTGTACAAGTCCACGTGCTCAACTTGAACAGTAACTCCCATTTGAACTTTCCCTAAGAGTTCCATGCACTAAGTCGGCGATGTCCAGACACCACCAGTTACCATTGACAAAATGAAGGTATGAACTAGTACTGGAGCCAAATATTCGGATATTGATTTTGTCTGATTCATTATTAGGGTACCAATTGATCCTAATTGAAATGTAAACGTTGTCGCCAGAAACTTACTATGAATTTTCTGTCCTGCTACAGAGGATTCATAAAAAATCAGTGGTGTAACTGTAAAGCAATGCGATAATGAGAAGTGCCGCTCCTATTGAAAGGTCCCGCCCTAATTGCAACTTGCCTTACTAGGCTATGTCCCAAATGTATAAAATCCATTTTAATTTGATTTGATTTGATTTATTACATGTTGAACAACATGTTGAATGAGAAAAGAAAAAGCGGGCTAACTCATCTGGACAACACCAACACAACATATAAAAATGAAAACTAAAACCGAGTGCGCTGAAAACTGCAAAAACCTAAGATAAATCATGCTGGTAGTGGGAAACAGAACTTTGGAATTTGAAAGCGGCCGAAAATTGAACAACCCTGCACATCCTTACGTACTCCGTACCAGCTCAAAAAGTGAAAAATTTGCGCCCCACCGATGACCGAGGTAGCTGAAAGGGAACCTTGAACCTGTCTCCTCTGGTCCTACATGGGACCGTTTGGAAAAAGAGATCACCGTCAAATCAATTCGAGTTTGAGGATTTTATAAACCATCAAAACATCATTCATCCTCCGCCTTGTGTGTAGTGAATCTACCTTGAGCATTTTGTTTCTGACTACACCACGGGGAACGCTGCTTATGTGAATCCTAACGATTTAATGAACAATCTTCTAGTAAAGTTGTGCTGTGTTGCATGCATGAGTTTTAGAGGCAATCTTAAATGTCAACCTATGGTAGTGTCAAGCCTAGGCGTTACGAAGACAGTGGGATGGCAGTCAGCGTAAGAAGTCGCAAAAAGGAGGCGGACAAGCAACAGTTCAATCGAAGTGGCGTATCAATCGCTGCTAATGAATGAGAAGGCAGTGGCTAGCACTGATCAGGCCAATGACCTGCGAGTAGCACGAGGCTAGAGTTTTGTCGTGCTAAGCATTACGTTCGCTCCGAAAGGAAGGGTCGAACGGGACGTGGTTCACGGTAAGGGTTGAATGGGGATTCCGGTCAGTAAGGAGTAGAATTATTAATGATGGACTGTGGGTCAAGGCTATTTTGAAAATGGCTTTTCAGTCATTATTTGATGACGTGTTAAGCGAGCAATGGTGTTCTGTTTATCATAGACATGGGGAAGACTTGGGAAAATTTCAAGTAATACTACCTTTGATTGGTATCGATGAACGTGAGCATTGAAAAACTGCGGCGCTCGTCGGTGATGTTCTGAAATCGATGAAATAACATTGAATAGTAGAAAACATCGGAAAATCGCTTCTGCATGAGTGCAATAAGAAATCACAAAAAGGAATAGAAATATCGCCACCTTTTTGAGATCTTCGGTGACAAAAACTTCGCGAATTATTTACGGAGAGACGGTCCTGTCAATTTGTAGGAATTATCCCAGTAGTACAAATAATCTGACCTAGATTATAAGCGGACCTTTACATACGATTCGAACATGTCAGTCATGCCCGCTATGCTTGCCATGATTTGCAGACATGGCGCAATCTCTTTATGTTGCTCGCCTCTAATGAATGGCTAATTGGAAGTGGTTGATCATGAAGTCAAATACAATACCATTTACCCGATGAACTTAGTGTAGTGCAAGTAGTGCAGCGGCAGGCGGTGTGGCCAGTGTGTTCAACCTGTCACGACGAGGTTGCTGTCAGCGTGTCCACACTGCCACTTTCTGTGTGACTATCCTTTGCTTCTGAAAAAATGCTGCTCATGGCTGATAAAAAACATCGAAGGAGGCAAGATTAGCATTCGAGCTCAAATTAGAAGACAAATTCACGGTAACTGAATGCTACAGGATATGTCGTGAAAGAGTATGAGTAGGAATCAAGGCCATCATAGCGAAGTATGAAGCAGAACCCTTACCCTGAATGAAATGGCTGGCCAACGGTATGATCGTGGGCGGTGATATGGCGGACCTGTTTCAGCTTAATGTTATGATTTTCTGGTTTTTAGGTAGGTAGAGACTCGCTGAGTTTCACAGACATTGAAGACAAAACTCGCAGAAAGCTGGTACCGTTGAAATGTGAATGTGCAAATGCCAAGTACAAAAAAAGAAGCAAAATGATCAAAAACTGTAAAACGGTGTTCTCTTCCCGGTAGGTTGCTTATCTGGATAAGTTGACTGCGGCGGTCGCGCTTTGGTAGCCCTTACAACATTTGCCTTTTACAATACTGCTGTTAGTATTTTGCTAAATTTCTTGTGCTAGGTATTTGGTGGAACATTTATTCAATGCCTATAGTTTTGACTGAAAATCACGCAACACTTTCGGGTTACGGTATCTCTTGATATCACCGATGGACATATTTTTGCACTTGGCTTTGTTGATAGGACCCTTTCTGCTGCGAATATCGTATCCACGTTTCGTCCGCTTGAACCCCTCTGTACCCGCACCGCTATCCATCTCTCTTTTCTGAGGGTCGATTTTTATCGCGAGTTTTCTTTTGAGCAGTATTCCTACAATAGATAGAACATTTGCGACTTGTCGGTTCTGGTTTGGCTGGGAATGTGAGGTGATCAATAGATCTGCAAGGGAAGGCAAACAACACCCAGCTGTGGTAACAGCTTGCTTATTGGATGCAGAAAAATAAATTGGTGCATGAGCACTTGAAACACTATGAACGCTTCGAGAGCACGAGGACATCTGCCATATTTGGTATTCTTCCAAAAGTTCTGGTTTTAATTGTTTGATAGAACGATAATTTGTCAGAAGCAATTTGTGAACCTAACTATAAGGCTTAAATATAGCCGAATGAGCGTTCCATTCAGTTGAATTTGGCGAATTGAAACATCTGAAAGAACATCTAGCGAGTTGGATGTCTCTATCCTCCGGAATACTCATACTGAGTGGATGCTTTTTTTTAACAATTAAGCTTTGGCTGGTAAAGCAAGCACTGGTAATAGCGAAAGCATTCTTATGGTTAGGAACTTTTCGGCTTAGTATTTAGCTCTAGCATCAGGAAGTTGATCATTAGGCACCTTCCTCGAGGTTGCTCCCTCTGTTACACTCACGTGGGAGGTCTGAACATAACATTCAGCAGAAGTCACCAGTGAAGCTTACTTCCACTAGAAGAAAAATCTCGAAATCACCCTCGACCAGATGCGATCATGGTCCAGTGGAAGACGACTTCACCAAATCGCAATTTGCAGTCGCGTTTGATTGCAATGCAAACTCGCCCAGTGATGTTCTTTTGAGAAACACCTTCTCAATTACATATGTTTAAGGGGGGGGGGGTTATGCGGGAAAATACACAAACGGGGATATTTCACGAAGTTGGGGAGCACATTTCGGAACATAATCGTGGAGTTCCTTGATCAGTATCTGCTTCGGAGGGTACCCTGCAGCTAGCTTGCGTTTGTGCTCTCGTAAATGAAGCGATTGTGATAAATAAAGATAAATAAGGAGCGCATCGGGTGTACCACACGAAGCGTTAACTGGTGGCTAAGGAATCGAGTTCTGGCGTCTCGGGACGAAAGATGCGCTGAGGAGGACTTCGAAAGCACTCCGCCCGAAAAGCGATCCGCCCACTAGTTTAGTTGGTGATTTGGACGAGCTGTGTTGCCAGCAGCGGCACAACTGGAGCAACTCGACTGGAGCATGGATTGGCATGGTGCACCAAACGCGTTGCGGTAAACTCGTCCATACGTCCGCCGCCTTAGCTCTACCCTCGAGCGAAGATCAACGGCCGAACTAAGGGGGACCTCCTTTCGCGTTTTCTTGACGTTTCTCTCTGTTGTTTTTTCCGCTATCGGCGTACCATTGAGCACCCACACATCCCCTTACAACCTCTCTAGAACATATCCTGATCGTTGTTTGTAAGCAGTATTTATTACCGACGTTCTGTTGCCCATCGCTCCCTCTCACAATTCAACTTCGAAGTGCTATTTTTCATTTCATTTCTTTCTTCATTTTGTACATGCACTTTTGTCCACAAAGCAAAAGGATCTTTATGTACCTAATCAGTGTTCTGCGGCACCCTTTAGCATTGAGCGCCAACATCGCCGCGACAGCTCTTTGGTCAAGGACGAAGAGTAATTTCGTTTTACTCTCAGTGCGGGCGTGCTACCTTTCATTTGCCTGAACTGCTAACCATAAATCAAGTTATCGAAGCGAGCAGAAGTACAAATCTTTCAGCAAACTTTTTACATCTACTTATGAACAGGTCCAGGTAGCGCCTTCGTCGAATGCTTCGATCAAAATCTGCGCAGTTAAAGCTCGGTAAATGTCCTCTTCCTTCTCCGGATATGGGTTTCTTTTCTAAGATTCTGTCAGAACTGGTTTGGCTTGGTGATTCTGATCATTTTCGAAGAAGTGAATCATCGAGTCAAATCATTGAATTGTAGGTAGTAGTGGGTCATTGTATGTGCTCGAACATCGTTCAAATTGTAGTTCAGAAAGTGAGAGTGCTGGCGCCACCTCAAAGGATTTGGATCTACTACATCTCTATTGAAAGTCTAAATTAATATTGTACTCAAAGGCACGCAAACGAGTTTGCTTGCAGTGTTAGAAGCGAGCTTTTGTGAAGAAGGTTCCGCATGCGCTTTTCACAGCAAAGAAAACGAGATATTAAAAACCTCAAGACATTGACGACAGTGAGGTGCGATTGCGCGTTTCATTTCACCCGATTCTGGCTAGTTTTTTTCGATTTATCTGGCATTTTTCATATTTCAGAAACAGTGTGCATGCATTATCTTATCCGAAAAACTGTGCATCAATCACCAGTAGTGGAATTATTGAAAAGTTATGACGATTGTGAAAAAATAAACAAAAAGGTGCCGAGGTACATGCACAAGGGGCTTCGTCAATATGTTAAATATATTTTTTCGCGCCTCCCGATTAACATTTGCATATTTGAAGTCTCCTTCCCTGCTCATGCTCAGCAGTAAAATAGAGGATACTTTCTATCATCGAAAAGCGTTTTCATAAGAGGATTCTGAACGGGTTATGAGGAGAACTGTGATATTTATGTATAATTAGCTCGACGTTAGAATGGAAGGTGGGTGACGCGGGTGGCTAACAAAGGCTATCTCCGTAGACATCTGATCAAGATTGCAATCACATCGGCTAAAATGACCATCACCATCCACCGCTGGCTGGAGCTACGTGGAGAAAGAAGGGCGGAAGGCGAACAGTGGTTCAGAGTGACATAGTCACGGTAACTAAGATGTTGACAACAATAAACGTTGTCGGTGGTCTGATCAATCTATTGAAGTAGGTCTGGTTTTCGATACACATCGAACTTCTTAACAATGGTCCCCTCTTGGTAACCATGTCATCGCTTGGCAAGAGGACAACGTTGCATTTGTTGCCCATTGTACTACTAGAGGACTTGGAGAGTCTGTAGCATCGAACCTGACAATGATTCCATTCCATTCATCGTATCAAAGTGCTGACCTGATGTGAGCCTTCGGGAGCTTTTGCAAAAGGAATTTCAAGAAGGGGAAATCTGATTCCCGATGATCGTGCTTCTTCCTCCGTAAAACCTTACAAACACTGATAACTCGATGCAATAAATTTCCCTTCCAACGCCTTAGCTCTACGCTGATAGGCAAAAATTGGATTCGAGCTTACCGGACTGTCCAATTTTTTGGTGTTCAGCAACTCCACGGTCGTGGCAAGGTGAGGGGCAAATTGGGGCAGGAACGTGTCATATCTAGAGGAAATGATATTCTGGTTGCAGGCAAGTCAAATAGCGTTCCCGCTTGGGCTTTCTCTTGTCCTTCTCAGGGGGACGCCTGCTGATATTTATGGAGGGCCAGAACGGGAAGGCAGCAATTTCTTGCTGACCCCTCATCCTGCACAGATCATGTTTATAGTTTAACTTAACGAATGTTTGGCTATTCTCGTACTTACAATTAGCCGTATGTTATGGACGATTTGCACAGTGTAATGGACGAATCAGAGGTCAACTGCATGTCTGCGTCACTCAGCGGGTTTCTTCCGACTCTGATTCAATGAGGTAAAGCCAATGTAGCCAAAGCTGACGACAGGTGTAGCCGTTGCTCTCCCCCTAAAATCACGTTCGGAGTGCACATTTGGTCAGTCGGAATGTTCGGTCGCGTCTTATTGGATCATGGCCCAGAAAATAAAGATTCAATAGTCACCAATAAGTGTTCAACTCTTGCGACTACTCCAAGATGATTTTGAAGTTCGAGTAGCAAACAGTGAAAGCCCAAGTCTGATTTCCTTCTTTGAACAGTCTGATCTGACCTTCTTGTTGGAACCGAGAGTGGGACGCTTGACAAACATCAGCGTCAAATCAGTTACTCCACGCGACTATTTACTGGTTGCGCTGCTTCATGTGGACTTTCATGGTCGTGCTCTGTTCTCTTGTGGTTGTTATTCAACTCTATAATTGTATCATCGATGGGTTCCAAGCGTAAATGTTGAAATCAGATGGTCAAATTAGCCTGACGATCTAACCAACAGTAATAGTGCTCAGTAACTTCTGCCGTACCGGGTCGACGGAGA